CTCGATCAACGCCTTTATTTTGTCATCATCAACCCCAGTGAGCCTCACTGACTGAGGAGTATTGTTGAGATCAAAATGACCAACACAGAATTTTGTTGACACTGACATTCTTAAAGAGCATTGTTACCACAAACGTCTCATAAGTGTGACAGAAGTTCTTCCTTTTATGAACATAAAACCGTAAAATATGCAAAAATACAGTTTGGTCTTCCATCTTCAACTGATGTAAAATCTCCAAAATGCAACAAAATTGCTTATTAAAATGGTCAGCTCTCAACTGACATAGCAATTAACATAGATGTGAATGACTCTAGTACTTACAAAAACGAACTAGCAGCATCTGTTGCAAAAATGCATCATGATTTTTCCAACAACCCAAGAAAAAAGGAACTGTTGAGACCAGCTGTACTAGTACACACTGCTAAAATGCTGCTGCTCAGTAGGCTAAGGTCACATGGGAGACCTAGGTTTGGTATTTGAACCACTCTAAGAAGCCAGTCAGGGGTGTGTGTGTGTGTGTGGGGGGGGGGATACTTGCCTGTAGTCACAGCTACTCGTGAGGCTAAGGCAAGAGAACTGTGACAGAGCAAGACACAGTCTCTTTAAAAAACAGCAAAAAAAAAAAATCTCTATATAGAGTGCAACTCCCTCCAAGTTTCCATCTAGATTTTATATAACCCCAATGAATAAAAGAAAGGAAGAATAAATGAATAAGCAGAAAACAAAGCAGATGAAGAAACAATGAAAAAGTTTAGGAAAAGCTGAATCTTAACAGAAAAAGAAAAATCACATTATACTACTTGACTCAAAAGTCAACAAGTCACAGATAGAATACTAAAAATACTACTGATTTACCTAGTAACTATTACCTAACATACTGGGGTAAAGGTGGGGTAAAAATCAATACAGAAATTTTACTGAAAAAAAGATAGAAATAAACTATTGACTTTGATACATTATTAAGAAACAACAATACAATCACAGGGGGGTTAGAAATCTGGAGGTAATCACTAAGTTAAGAGTTAATGGTTGTTCTGTAGAACACAAAGTGTTGGTGGGTAAGGCCCTATCCTATGACTTCGTTTTTGTTTTTTGGAGAGGTTTCTGCTATAGGGTGGCGTGCACTCACCAGAAAGACAGAGACAGAGAGACAGAAAGTGAGAAATCGCCCCCCCAGGGGGGATGGCCACATCGCAATCCCTGCTCCTCCATCCTCCTCTCGGGATCTTGGGCACACACACACACACGTGCCCGGCGTGAGTTTTAAGCCACCAGGCCTGGGATGCGAACTGCGGCCGACTACATGGGAGTCCAGCGACAGCCATTACGCTAACTGCTGGTCCTAGCCCTATTACTTTGTTTTAAGCCTATCAATGTTACTGGACCTTTACAACTATGTGCATATATTCTTCTGAAACTGTGAAGAAAGTGAAACTGCCATTAAAAACCTTAACATTCCAGTATTAATCTAACCACAACTCCTTGGCCTGCTGGTATTCACGCTTTCACTATTAATTTAGAATCATAATGCCAATTTTTCATGTTCTCCAATCCCTGATTGCATTCCTATTATCTCTAAGTAATTCAGCTTTGAATTTGCTCTCTCATGCATGCTGTAATACTTTAATCTCTGCTTAGTCAAAACCTTTTACTCCTTTCCCACAACTGCCTGGGAAAAAAAGACAGTATTACCTACTAATAAGACTAAAAGTTTTGGATATCTAACCTCACTTCTTATCTACTGTGATAAAGAAGAGGTACCTCACTACTATTAATATGAATTCCCTAGTCACTTTCCTCTCAATTTCCCTAAATAGTGATTAGGAAAGTCATTATCCTTTACAAATTCTAAACTTTATGCCCAATCCTTTTTCCCAACACATCAACGTGATTCTATTTCATGAAAAAAATTAGCACTATGAACTACGATAACAAACTTCCTCAGCTACTTAGTTGTTCCTCTGTTCTTCTCAGTTACATTTTTCTGTAACCACATTTAACTCCTTCCCCTCTATCAGTGGAGTACCTCCTCTTAAAAATTAAAACTTTCCTCAGCCTTATCCTTGGAATTGAATTCCTACTAGTCCTCAGTGGCTACTATTCTTTTCTTTTCACTGCCAACACCCATATGTTCACTCTACAAATCTCCAAGCCTTCACCTTGGACTGTAACAAGCTGCTTTTATCATAGCACTTCACTGAAATTGCTCCTCTAGCGTCAACAATAACTGAGAAACCCATGGGTACTTCTCAGGACTCTTCATATTATTTCAGTGTAGCAACTGGCACTATTTAACCTTCCTCTTTGAAATAGCCATTTCTAGGACCAGCAGTTGGCGTAATGGCTAAGTCACTGGACTCCCATGTAGTCGACAGCGGTTCGAGTCCCAGACCCGGTGGCTTAAACTCATGCCCGGGCATGTGTGCGTGCGTGCCCAAGATCCAAGGGGAGAATGGAGGAGAAGGGACTGTGGTATAGCAATCCCCCCGGGGAGAGGGGGCAATTTCTTGCTTTGTCTCTGTCTCTTTCTGGCAAGCACACACGTTCTATAGCAAAAACCTCTCAAAAAAAAAAAAAAAAAAAAAAAAAACCCTTTTTATAAAATTTTTTAAACACATTTTT